AATTTTAAACATTAGTTTCTAAATTTAAAATAAAATTTTACTTTTCTCAAATAACAACCTAGAAAAACACTAAAATATTAAAGTAAATGTAATATTTTGAAAGAGATATTCTTCTATTTTTGAAGAAAATCAGCAACTGCATAAAATTAATATAAAACACTGAAAAGAGAATATCAAGTAAAAAGCAGTATACTATATAAAATTTGAACTAGTCTATATGTTTAGCAATAAAACCTATCTTTCTTCAGTAATGGCAAACTAGCTAATAATAACACGTCAACATAGTTTTTTTCTGTGTGAATTTCATTTAGTTTTTTTTTTATTTTTTAAAGAGAATAAAAATGGTAAAAAAAAAAGAAATGATACAGAATTTCACTAAACAAGATGATAGGTATTCAACAATGGTCGTTATAGTGCATATTGATGTCCAACGTAGTCTTTTAAGTATGTATACTTTTACTCTAACTTCAATAAAGTTCAGACACCCTTAAAAGGCAAGAATTCATTCATGGTATCTGGCATACAAAAAATTCCAGGAAAGTATTTGGTGAATAAATGACCTGATTTAAACAGTGAGATTGATATAATCTGCAACATTCTGTTCAGATTGATGTCACAAATTTTTAAGCAGTTTTATATTTCTGAATTTTTGGTTATAAGATAAGAGTACTGCACTCAATAATAAACCGACTTTACTACTCAGCTAACAACAGAAATATCAGGAGGACTAGAAAAAGATGCTTCAACAAAGTGTGCAGAACTTAAAACAAAAAGATGTCTGAGGGGGCTGGTGAGATGGCTCAGTGGTCTAAAGCACCTACTTAGAACAAGCTAAGCCAAGCAAAGCACAGGGACCCTGGTTCAATCCCCCAGCACCACATGCCAGCCAGCCCCACCCTCTGGTGGGCTGAGCTGGCCACACACACTAAATAAACAAATAAAAAAAAAAGATGTCTGACAGGAACTTTTAAGTAGCATAAGCTAAATAAATAAACTGGCATAATAAACAGAGATGAGCATAGATTGATATTCTAGCTATAATGCTTACTAGCTGAGCAAGATTAATTTCTAAGTGATACTTTCATCACTGGTTAGAATGAATATACAGGCTAAATAGAACACCACGTATACAAAAGACTGACAATCAATAGTCATTCAATAAACATTAGTTTCCTGTAATCTACTGAAATCATATGTGTAGACCTAGTTAATTTAGGAAAAAAAGAAAAATTTCTAAATCTATCAAATCAAGATGGAAAGGAATTTGAACAGAGAGACTTTCCACAAGTCAGATGTTAACTCTATAGGTATCATATGTCACAAGACATTATTTTGACCAAGATATGCCATAAGATACTATTTTGACCAAATCTTTTGATCAGTGACATAGATAAAAACTAAATGAAATACTTACTGAATATATAAATTTCACAGACCTAGAAAGGATAGCTTACCTATCAGATGAGAGAATAAGTATTTCCTTTAATAAGAATAAGGAAAATTGAAACCCAGACACAGTATCATGTCAGATTGCATAACTAACAGATACAGGTACAGAAACATATCATGAAATACATAAAACATCTTTGAATAAATAATTTAAGTAAAACAAAACTGAATAGTGTAAGTTTTGCTTCCTAGGTTCAAAGGAAGATTAGGGGCACAAGATCCATACAGTATGTGTTATAATAACAACAGATGTAAAAGATGAATTGAGGCTTTTTATATGACTCAGTACAAGAAAAGTCAATCCACAAAAAATAGTGGGGGTTATAGCATACTAAAGCAATATAATATGCAGAATAAGAGATGTAATAGGTACACTCTCCCCTGAAAAAAATCACATTTGGATTCATATCTCAGAAGCAAAATGTAGACAAGTTTGACCAAGCACTTACGAACACTTCAAAATTAGGTCAACTGAGGAATACATGGAGGAATTGGGGATGTTTAGCATAAGAAAGAATAGATTTGGGGGTCTGGGGATGACTAGCCTAAATTAAGACATACACATCCTTAAATACTGGCAGATGCTAAAGAGAATAGAAAGTACACCAGCTAGCAGAAATAATGGAAAATAGATTTGTGGTTTTACCTATGAAATGACTGTCTCATAATTAAAACTGTCATAATTGCAAAAGTGTAGATCTGGTGATATAGCTCAGTGGACTAAGCGCTTGCTTAGGTAAACGCATGAGCCATTGTTCGATGCCTGGCACTGCATGCCACGCTGGTCCCACCCCCAGGTGCGCTGAGCCAGCAATGGAGTCTGGGCATGGTGATGTACGCCTGTAATCCCAGAAATAGGGAGACAGAAATCAGGAGGATCACTACGAGTCTGAGCTGCATAGTGAGATGCTGCACACACACACACACACAAAAAAAAAAAAAAAAAAAAAAAACTAAAGAAAAGTAAAAAGTGTACACTATCTTCCGAGCCCTATAAAAATGGAAATAAGGGCTGTGACTCCTCCACATGGCTAACACTGACAAAGGATCTACAAACTGCTGTACAGGGTTCCAGGGTAAATCCTGAGAGGATGTGACTGACCTTGTCAGAAGTAAAAGTTACATTTCTTGTTATATAGGTCTTGCTTTATCTTGGTCTTAACCATCCAGCAGAAAAGTATAAAAACAAAGCAAAAAAAATGAAGTCATATTAATAGGCTGAGCTGTAAAAGGCTCAAGTCAACAACTTCTGACATTGCCAGTCCTACGGATAACCCACTACTATCATGGACTACTGGAGTATATTGGATTATTTAGCTTAATTCACGCACCTACAATATTTAAATGGCAAAGGAATACCCATCTCTGACAAAACTAAACAAAAAAAGGCAATACAAATGAAGGACCATTTTGTATCTTTGTATACAAAATAGTTAAGATAGGTATACAGGTACTTTCTCTTAATTCAATAAGAGGAAAGATTTATACTAATAGTGTTTGGACAGGAAATCGTGTCTGTATCTTGTACTACAAAGGACCACTACGAAAACAACAATATACAATGTATTAATTATTGAAACTGTCCTATTTCTCTCATTGCTATTTCTCAATAAAATTAATAAAATAATGAAAATTTAAGAAAATGAACATTGTTTAAGCACCTTATGCTCCAGATTCTAGGATACAAAGAAGGAAACCTTATTTCCATTTTTTTGTGGATTTTTTAAATTAATTTTATTGAGAAACAAATAGCAATGAGACAGTTTCAAAACAGATTAATAGGACAGATTAATAGGACACCAAGATAAAGCAAGACCTATATAAAAAACAATGTAACTTTTGTATCTGATAAGGTCAGTCAAGTCCCTTCAGGATTTATCCTGTAACCCTGTACACAGCTGCAGATCCTTTGTCAGTGTCAGCCATGGGGATGAGTCACGGTCATTGGTTAACCAATCTGCTCTCTGTAAAAGCCTGAGAGAATGTGTTCTCTCCATGTGACTCTCCTTAGGCACACTCTACATAGTTGATCACTTTCCTGTGTGGCCCCATAATCTCCTTGATCAGAAAATTTGGGACATCACTGAGTTATAGGATGTTACAGTACAGGTTCTCTTATGTTGGCTGTCAGAACATTTTCTTAATTTAAAAAAAAATTATTTATTACTTTTTAAAGAGAATAAAAAAATTAGAAACAATACAGAATTTCCCTGAACATGATGACAGAAATTCAACAATGGTTGTTATAATGCATATTGTTGTCTTCAAATTAATTGGTCAGATTACCTGATATAGGCATGCTAAATTGGCTAAAAAATTAAAAAGTGGAAAAAAAATTAAGTATTAATTGTTCCTTTTAATAGACCATAATAAATCAGCAGTACAATTATCCAAGTTATCCTGTGTATATACGGATGTATTTTTTCTCCTTTCGCTCACCAGTTGTTCCTTCCCTTTGAGCAGTTTCTTTCCCTTTCACAGTATCTCTTGTACCTTTTGGGTTTTATTTCCTCTTTTGGGTTCTTATACTAGGGAGACAATATGATGTTTACACAGGTGGGTATGAATATGTTCTCTAGTTACACTCATTTACCTAAAAAGCCTCAACATTACCTTTTTTATAGCTGAGTAATACTATATTATGTACAAATACCATATCTTTTTCATACATTCCTCAGTTGATGGGCTTTTGCGTTGTTTCCAGCTACAACAAATTGTGCTGCTATAAACATGGGTGCACATACATCAATGTGGTATGATGTACCTTATAGAATAGTGGGTGAGTTGTCCCTAAATGCATTAAAGATACAGAAATCTAGAGCAATAACCTTTTAAGGCCAGGTAGGGCAATCATTTTTCTCACCTAGAAGCCAAGGACCAAGGCAGAATCCAGAAATGTCTGAATGTTGCATAATGCAAAGACATCAGAGTACAGAGATGGGCTCTCCCGAGATTCTAGGTTCATTGTCCTGGCAGCAAAGGTTACCTAGCAAGTCTATACTAAAATCAAACCATCAAAGTAATAATATATTTTTCACATCAGAGCAAAAACTCCAAAGAGAATATCTACGTGCATGTAGGAAAAGGAAAATAAGTATCAAAGTACAGATCAAGGTACTGCCCATCTTTCTGACCCCTGTAGTAACCTCTCAACAAGGACAATGACTATTTAAAAATTCTTAAAAGCCTTTATTATATGTCTGTTAATTCCTATTAATTACCTTTTATATAATAGCAAAAACAAACACTATCACACCAAAATGAACAAACAAAAAGGTATCTGAGCTTATATAAGAACTATCAGGATAAACAAGAATTTGGACAGCGGCACCCCACATTATGGGCAAACTTAAAAGGAAAGAACTCTACAAGAGAACAAGGAGCAATAAGTAGAATTAGGTCACTTTTCTCTAAGAAAGAATAAAGTAGGGAAACGTGCTCCAAAACAAATCCTTCAACCTGTTCATCCCCAAGCTACTGCAACCAAATGTGTTATGCATATTATTAATACTTAAGATCACCTCACTTTACAATAAGATAGAACATCTTACTTGTTGCACCAAGGCGACGTGTGTCCCTGGCAATATAATTTGCAAAGATAATAGATCTCATGCTGGTCTTACCAGATCCACTTTTACCCATCAACAGCACCTAGGATAAAAAGTGGGAAAAAGAGGAAAAAGTTAGAAATCTAGAGAAAATCTAGTATAAAAGATCCATCTCTCTCCCTATTTGATGTTGTACTAAAATGACTGTGCCAATAACCTGGTGCAGAAACTTATAATTAAGTAAACAGCTTCCCAATCAACAGTAAATACAGACAGACCTAGCATTCCAGGAGCCAGGCACTTATTTACCTACCATAGGTCACATATTCTTTGGGAAATTAAATTGCAGAAGATTTGTATTAGTAATATATATTATTTATGTATTTAAAATTAGGTTAAGAAAATTCCATCCTAAAAGGAAACTAAATCCTGTTTTCCCATAACTGAACTACTAGCAGGGCATTTCAGCTTAACTAAAGGTCTTCTTATTCCTGTTCAAAGTCAACCTTTCTATCAGTAGCCTAGATATCATTACTTTCACTTACTTTTTTTTTTTAATTTTATTTATTTATTTGTGGGGGGGCCAGCGCAGCCCACCAGGGGGCGGGGCTGGCTGGCATGTGCTGCTGGGGGATTGAACCGCGGTCCCTGTGCTTTGCTAAGCTTGTTCTAAGTAGGTGCTTCAGACCACTGAGCCATCTCACCAGCCCTTAAATTTTATTTATTTATTTGTGTGTGTGTAAACTTTCACTTACTTCTTCAACATTGCTCTATTAATCTTTTTTTTTTTTTTTTTGGTGGAACCGGGGATTGAACTCAGGCCCTTGTGCTTGCTAGGGAAAGGTTTATTCTACAGAACCATCTCTCTGGCCCCTGTTCTATTAATTATTGACACTTTTTTTCTTTTTAAAATTTCCCCATGGTCTACAGGATCAAATCCTTAAACTACACATAAGAGCCTCCTTGATCTAGTTTACCTACTTCTGTGTTTATCTTCTGCCCTCCTAGCATGAATCTTTAAGCACTCAATCACACTGAACTGAACATCTTGTAGTCCTTTTGCTCCCAGTCATCTGGGAATTCCTGCATCTTTGTTTTTGTTTCATACTGTACTGTATGCCACAAATGTTCCATTCTCTTTTCTTCTTTCAACTAAGTTTCATTTATCCTTCAAAACTTGGTTCAGTAATCATATCCTGAAAAACCACCAACAACCCCAATATATTACACTGGCTTACAGGTCTTATCTCTGTTTTCCCTTGGTACTTTTTATGTTTATTTATTTATTTATTTACTTACTTACTTACTTACTTTGGTGGTACCAGGGATCAAACTCAGGGCCCTGCACTTGCAAGGCAAATACTTATTCCACTGAGCTATCTCCCCAGCCCTATTTTCTTTTTTTTCCCCCTGTGGTACATTTTAATCATTACAAAGACCATAATGTATTTCAGGCACTCATCCTAAATGGCAAAGAGTACCTCTGGTGCCTAACATACAATATATTGTTAGAATCCGTTTATCTAAAGAATGAATAAGCTATCAAAGCAAAGTTATAAAACAAGAGAGTTTTAACATTGAGAATTATTTTGTGGAAAGAGTGGTCTTATGAATGTAAACAGCCTTCTTGTGAATGGTAGTATCTAACACAAAGAAAAACACTTATCAAAGATGCTGTATATTGGGGGCCGGGGAGATGGCTCAGTAGAATAAATGCTTGCCTGGCAAGCATAAGGGCCTGAGTTCAATCCCTGATTCTGCCAAAAAAAGAAGAAAATGGTGTACATTAATATATTAAAAAGGCATAAGAATAAGCTATGAAAACAAAGTTATAAAACGAGAGTTTTTAACAATGAGAATTATCTGTGGAAAGAATGGTTTTATGAATGTAAACAGCCTTTTTGTGAACGGTAGTATCTAACACAGAAAGAAAAACACCGTCAAAGATGTTACATATTAATGTATTAAAAAGGTATTCTGTAAACTGGTCATGGTTGACCATGCCTATAATCCCAGCACTCAAGAGGCTTAGGAAAGAGGATCACCGTAAGTTTGGAGCCAACCTGGGCTACATAGTGAGTTCAAGTCCAGCCTGAACTACACGTCAAGAACTTGTCTCAAAAAATAAAACAAAAAAAATAAAATTTACTACAATAATCTTAAATAATATTCAAGAATTCTTTCAAATATAAATTTATTAAATACAGTTCTAAGTACTGTGTTTTTCACATGCAAGGGATACATGTTTCACCTTCAACCTTAAGATATTTTATAAAAACTTACTATAAATATAAGAAATATTAATGAAAATTGCATTCAGGCTGAATTCAGTTTAGCAATTGAGCTATGTAATTTTATTTCACTGAAGAAATCTCACCGCTGAATTAGTCTTTAAAGCTGCAACAAAAAAAAGCTTTTTTAAAAAAATGTTAACCAAAAATCAATGATTATATACGTTTCTGGAGTGCAGCATGTTTTGATACATGTATACAATGTGAAATGATTAAACAAGTATAATTTTTGCTCTTAATCATGTAGAAATTTCTGGTATTTTAGGCATCCTTGTTGATAGTAACTTTAGACAGGCTCATGATAAACATTGCCTTAGCAAACTGGAATTACTGAACTGGTAAATATATTTGTTTTTCAATACAAAGATCTTACCTCAAACGTTTATAAAAGTCTATTACCAAGCTAATCATGCTAAATACTCAGCTAAGGGCTTTACTGTCATTTGTTTGTTTAAGCCTCACACAAAACCTATGAAATAGGTAATATTACCATTTCAGAAATGGGAAAAGTGAAACTCCAAAAAAGTTAATAAACTTGCCTCAGAACTGCACTGTTAGTGATTCTGCCTAAATCCAAAGTTGGGGCATAGAACCATAAGAGCACAATGAAAATAGTATAAGTTACAGCGGGAGACGTTCCCTGTAAGGTCTTATAGTAGTAACATATTGAGTTGATCTAAAAATAAATGTGCAGGCACAGGCCTAAGTAATGTGTGCATGTGATGTGATTCAGTCAAATTTGTACATTAGAAAAATTAAATTTGACAGCAAAGAAGAGGATGAGAGTCAAGAAGACCACATAGAAGTTTTCTGGAGTGTGTGTGTGTGTGTGTGTGTGTGTGTGTGTGTGTGTATGCGCATGTATGTGTGCAATACATTTCTGAATACAAATTCTTACCTGTACCTTCGTGTTTCTGGTGTACCTAATGCATCTTACCTTTTTCTTCATGGCTGTATTTGGTAGCACCCACCTGCAGATACAAACCAAAAGATAGTTTCCATGAACCACTTTGCTTTAGCAATTAAAGAAAAACAAATAAATGTGGAAATGTAAAAGTGCATATTTAAAATGATAGCTGAGTACAGTTATGTGGAGGACCTCAGTTTATTAAAGGCCCTTATCTGCCTAAATTACAAAACTGAGTTTATTTTCACTATTCCCTAACTATAACCTATGAAGATAGCTCCTAGAAAGATTTGTTTAGGAATACAAATGACTTATTAAATTCAAGAGTTATTTTTTCATCATCTTCAGAAATTAAAGCAATACGCAGACTATATATAAAACACTATTTTCACATTTGACTATCTCTATTTTTTCAAGTTCAGCTATTTTTGAAATCCAGAAGTATCCTTGGTCCTTCAGCAGTCCTTCAAAGTAGTGTTTCAATCATTAAAGGCACAAAACCCATATAATAACACAAATCTCAGATTCAGGTACAAATCAACTTAAAAAGCACTCTAAAACTACTAGTCTCTGAGAAAATATTAATCCTCTTCAAAGTTTTCTTATCCTCAACGTGGAAATATCTAATCGATTGCCTTTATTTATCTAAAGTAACTCAGATCTGTCTTTTTAATTAGAACAATCCACATGCACCAAGAATATCCTCAGCCCCATTCCAAGCCTGTTTCTGCCCAGTTAGCACTAGTCCTCTTTTCAGTTTATTCTGTGGTCAAAATCACGACACTACGATATCAATCGACTCTATTATTAAAGTGAAAGAATTTATCATGAGGGATTGGAAGGTATTCTAATTTACAATACTCTCTTCAACTACAGAACCCTCCCTTCAGGTTTACCATAACACGCTTCACCCACCCTAGCGATTCTTCTGGTTCCCCTAATGGAGGTTCCATTCTCGGCCCCAGATTTTCTTTCTCCATCTTTTTCTCAGAGTCATATTCTTCCATCGTGCAACAAGTGCTTTCCGGTCCCTTCTAAATCCACAGTACTCTATTTGTCCTTGTTCACCCCCTTAACTGCCTATTCTCATGGCCCGCAGTCCTTAGGCCAGCCCAGTTCTTGCCTCCTTCTTTGTCCACTGGGGAGGCTCTTTCCCCACGATTACCTTTACCGCCCTAAACTTGGTCTCAAGGAAAACCCGAGCAGGCCAGCTCAAAGGCGAAGTTATTCGGTGGCGTAAGAAAGGATGACAGGGAAAAAAGAGACGAGTTGGGGACTCGTCCGGAGTTTGGGCCTCAGGCCCCGAGGTCTCAAAACCTAGAAGTAACTTCACCGGCAAAGAGGTGGGCACCGCAAAGGCAGAGGCGGCAGAAAGAGCGGAACCCTGCCTTAGAGACTAAGCAGTGACCTACTCCTCTGGCTGGCAGCTGTGGAGACTGGCCACCCAGGTGAGTCAGCCAATAGGTTACGACCTAAGCGCTTGCCCTTCAGGAGCCCAGGTACCTCACAGCAGCTACCAGACCGCAGGCCACGATCACGTGAGTACCGGCGTAAACCCGAGACTGTCACGTGACGGCCGACTCTAGGGGCGGGTAGGCCAGTATGAATACCATAGAGACTGTTCTGAGAAAGCCAGAGTGCCGCCTGTCGCCATCGCTGGTGTGGTCCTAGTGAGACTGTGAGCTACGCAGTCCGTTTAGCCCCACCCTGTTACTGAGTGGAATTAAAGGAGAGGGTTATTTCATTGCTTTGCAGCTAAAGGTTTTTACTGCTGCTTACCCTTAAGGATTTTAAGAGCGGAACAGCAAACTTATCTTTTACGTATTGCTATTCTCTGCAGCTAAGCTTGCAATGAATGCTTATTTTTTAGTACATGAGTGAGTACATGTTTACATTCTTGTGTAGCTGGTACATGTGCATAACATAATTCCTTTTTCTCATCCCTTTTCCCTCCCTTCACTCTCCCTTCTCTTGATCTCCTTCCCATTTGATAAAGATTTGTCTTCCACTTTCTATTTTCTATCTTTTATTTTGCTCTTTATGTATAATTAGAATTTCTCATGAATGAAACCATGTGATGTTCAGGCTTGCGTGTCTGATTTATTTCAGTAAACATTATGGTCTCAAGATGCATCTATTTCCTAAAAATAACTCTAGTTTATCTTTCTTTATGGTAGAGTAGTGGTGTGTAAAAACCACATATTTTATTCGTCTGGTGATGGGCATATAGACTGCTTCCAAGATTGAGCTGCTATGAATTGTGCTGTATAAACATGGAAACTTTGTGAAGTGTTAGTTTGGGTGTTTTTCAGGTGCCTTTTCTCATGGAGGTATCTTATTTCTCTCACTTTTGAATTATAATTTTCAGAAGCCACCGTAGAAACAGAAAGCATTGACACAAATGTGCACAGAAATTAAGTATAATCTTTCCCTTTCCCCCTGTTCCATAATAGTCACCAATTAAATGTACTCACAATCTTTCCTAATGAAACTCAATAGCACTACAAGGAAAATACGCAAATTTCTGCAAAGGCAAAGTGAACTGGAACAGTTGCATAACTAATGAAAACTGAAGGGATAACTCTCATTTGCAATTTTTTACTTGTTTTCAAAAGGAATTTTTCTTAAGTATTTAATAAGGTAAGTATTTTGACAAAAGATAATTTTACAAAGTATAGCAATCTGGACTGGAGGTTATTTTCTTTTAGGGCTTGAAATGCTTCACCCCAAGCTCTCCTTGACTTGGGATTTTTGTTGAGAAGTCTGCTGTAATTCTAATGAGTTTTCCTTCATAGATGATTTGTTTCTTTTCTCTAATAGCTTTTAATATTCTATTCTTGTATTGAGTTTCTGAACTTTTGCCTGTTATATATTTGGGTGTAACATTTTTATGATCATGGCTAACTGAGGTTGCATATATACAAGACTTATCTGCATGGTGAATTCTTTTCCATGCTTAGAATATTTTTCATGCTTGGAGTGTCTTTTGCATGTTTGGGATGTTTTCTGTGGATATTTTGTATGTCTTTTGTGTTGTCTTATGATTTTTCATTGATTATAATTAATGTAGTATTATTCTTTGCACTGGCTAGCAGATGTTGGATTCATTTTTGTGGTCCCCTACTACTTTTAAGAAGTCTTTTATTTGATGTTTACTAATCATGATCCTGTCTTTTAGATCTGACATTGTATTTTATATTGCTTGATTCCACTCCATATGCTTTCAATTGAATTTTTAATATCTTATATATCTGTTTGAATCTATTTTATAGCATCCAGCTCTTTCTTACATTGAAAATTTGTGGTTTACCTAATATCTTCTCATTTTTAACTCTGTATCTACTATGGATTTATTAACCACTTTCTTCATTATTTTCCTAATTTCTTTAGTTTCCTGTGTAATTACTTCTGTTTGTTTTTGCCTAAGGACTTACTCATCAGCTTTGTTACTTCTGCTACTATTATTTCATAAAATTCAACAGGGAAGTTTTTTTTTATTTTTTCCACTTTGATGTCTTCTGGGCTTGCTTTAGGTGAATTGAATGTTTTGGATTTCATCTTGCTTTTGTGTTTTCTCATTTTCTATTTTTTAAAAAAATAAATTGTTTTCTGCATTGAGGCTTGTATGTTGCTTATGGTGTGCAGTTTTCCTACTAGTATCAAGACCTCTTTTGGTAATTATTACTTTTCAGATCTGTCTTGTGGTGCAATTGACTTTTGAACTTTGAGTCTAGCCCATGGACCTCTTCTTTGCCTTAGTGATGAAAGCTTGCAGGCTGTTTGACCTAGCTTTCTTTCTTTGTCTTAGGGATGAAAGTTTGCTGGCTGTTTGGTCTAACTTTTAGCTCTTTTAATACTGGGCTGTAGTATGTTTTATTGCCCCCAGACAGTCTAGGTAATGGTATGCAAGAAGGATCAATCATCACAAGAGCTGTGTCATCCTCATTAAATTAGTACAATCAGTAATAACTGTGGTTTCAAAGACAAATGTGAAAACAAACTATAATAACTAATTCTATGTCACATTTAACCCTAGGTAATGATTTTTTTTTTTAGTTATATGGCAAGATCTAATTCAAGTCAGAAAATTATAACAGTATATATCCCTTCAGCAGAAAAATTTACCCCCTCACTGTACAGCAGGATTCAGCCTTAATAAGATATAAATAACTACCTGTAGATACTTTAGGGTAGGTGATATGAATGTGATAGTATTAAGAAAAATGAACAAAAGAAATAGGCAATGAAAAACAATGCAATGAGATGTGCAGAATGTGTTAAGATTGATGTAGGAGGTCCTGTTAAGGAGTAAAGGGATATTAGTTGTATTAGAAGAGGGTAAAAGTGAGGATTACCTAAGGAAAAGGATAAATAATAGGGAGTAGAATTTAAGGTAAAGGAAAAAATAATAGTAAGGCTTTAAGTTGAAAGAGAAGGTGAGAAAATGGCGGGGAGAGCCTACTTAAACAAACAAATCAAAGTAATATTAAGAGAGAAGAAAAAAAAAATGATGGAAAAGTTCCAGATTCCACCAAAAGAAACAAAAGTAATGAAAAATAAGATTGCACCAATAATGGAGTGCAAAATAAAGAATATATATCTTCAGAGATGTGCTATCTTCCCAGGTCAGTAGTCTTTTTACAAGTTACATGTCTCTTTGCCCTTTTTTGCAGTCTATAAGTTACTTAGTTCCAGGAGACCTCTTTCCATAGTCCTGTATTTGTGGCAGCTGTTCAAGTGGGTAACTAGGCCAGGGAATGTATAGGGCCCTATTTTTGAGGCTTCTGTTGTGGATTCCTTTTGGTTGAGGTTCGGAACTGATTAACTAATGTGTATTACAATGTCCTTGGGACAGGCTTCCCCTATATATAGATTCTTGTGGGCTCTCAGACCTGATTCTTAATCTTGTGCAGGCTCAGAGAAGAAACAAATCTGCCAAACAGTAATGTGGGCACATTTCTCTAAGCCCAATGAGGATACAGAGCTCAGGGTGATTTCTCACTGGTGTCCAGAGTATCATTCAGAATAGGCAGCTGTTAATCCTTGCAGCTTAATTGGGCAAGCGAGTGGTTTATTGCTGTTGACAGGGTGTGTGTGTAGGGATCAGGCTGAATGCCGGGTGGGTGGAGTCTGTGCTATGCTCAGTGTTTTGTATGCTTATGTAAACTCCAGTTGCCTAAGGACTGGCATTACATGTCAGACAGTGATGCTGGCATTTCTAGGATGGGTGTAGGTTCAAGTGAATCCAAACTGCTGACTGTGAACTCAGCCTGGACCAGTGTTAACTCTGTACACCAGATCAGAGTTGTGAAACATCTGAATTTGCTGGGAAAAAAACCTGACTCAGGTTTGGTCAGGACCAATATTGAAAACTCCCAACCCAGGCAGAAATCGCTTATCTGCTCAGAGTCTGAGCACAGACCAGTGAAAGATGGAGCAGCTCCATGGTCACTTTCCTCTGAAAATATACTGTAACTTGAGGCTATACTCATAAATGAAATAAGCCCAGACCCACGTGTGTAAATATTGGTATTGTCTCCCTAGTGTAAGAACCCAAAAGAAGAGATAAAATCAGAAAGGTATAATACAGTTAAGCAGAAAGAAACAGAACTTAAGGATTAAGCTGGGGAGATAGCTCAACGCTCTAAAACCCCTGTTTAGGCAAGCTTAGGCAAGTACACAGGGACCATGGTTCAGTCCCTGGCACTACATGCCCCACGAACCCCACCCCCAGGGTGGGCTGAGTCAACCACAAAAAAATAAAAAAGAAGAAAGAAGAAACCTATAAATAAAAAAATATGTATGCAAGTTTAAGAAGTGAAACAGTGTGACAGAACTGTCTGTGAGGCCTCAACATTGGATTAAACAATGAAGAGGAGAGAAAGGAGAAAAGATAGGGGGAAAAACATGAAAGCATATATACAAGAAGGTCGAGGTGATTGTACCAAGAATTTCCATCAGTTTTTGAAAATAGCAGTTAATATATAGAATCCTAATCTTGACTAACTCTGTATGCTGATATCTGTGAACTAAGCAACTTCATTGATGACACCAAAGTGTAATACAAAAACTGTGCTTTAAATATCTGTCATCTTGGTCTTGTACATGTGTACCATTTCTAATGCCATATCAATTATTATTATACTCTCTTTAAAATAATTTTTTAGAAAAAGGTTATAAAAGAAAAAGACAACAAAATTTTAAGATTTCTTGAAAGCATGCAATAGTAATCCTATGTACAGTCTAACCAGGAATTGAACTCAGACCCTTGCACTTGTCAGGGAAGCAATTATTCTACTGAGCCATCTCCCTACCCCTAATCAGCTATTCTTGTTTTGAAAATCTGTAACTTATGTATTGTTGTATGTTACCATATTTCTGTTTGTTTTTGTTTTTCTTGCTTTTGTTTTTACTCTTCAAAATAAAAATATATATATATAATTAAAAAAATATTGCCTGGATAAAGCATCCTCTCATTGAAGAGATCATAATA